TCACGAGACCAATGCACATCTTGTGATACACTCGAAGACCAAACTGGTTATTACCTTAACGAAGAATACAAATGTGTTGCAAGAACTGCAACCAATTGCGAGACTTGGGATGGTCTCTATTGTATCGAATGTAAAACTGGTTATTATATGGACAACATGGATTGCGCCAACGAGTGTAAAGTTAAAGATTGCACATATTGCTCAAAAAGCAAGTGTTTCCAATGCAAAAACAGCTTAGTTTTATACGAGTGGACTGACGAAACTAATAACAACGCTTTCATGCAAGAATGTGTCGATTGCACCAAACCCGAAAACGACAGAAAATGTGGTAGATGTCCTCTCGGTGAGTATTTCGACACTGTTAACTTCCACTGTAAAACATGTCGAGCCGACTGTCAAAGATGCACAACTGCAACGGATTGTTATTTGTGTGTTGAAAACAAAGCACTTCAAAATGCCAGTGACCCTGAGAGTCAATGTCAGGCAATCACTGGATGTGTTGACGGGCATTACTATGGGAATCACTGTGAATTATGTGCAGACGGATATTACTTAGACTTGGGGTATTGTTCTGTCTGTGATGAACATTGCAACAAATGTATTGGTAAAAACGAGTGTTATGACTGTGACTCTGACAACAAATATTTCCTTACCAATGGAAAGTGTGAACAAGATGAGAAGTGTGTGAGGTGGTCGAACACTCTTGGATGTGTCGATTGTGAAGAAGGGTATTATTTAGGTGACGATTCTAAATGTACCAAATGTGATGCAAATTGCAGAAGTTGTTTGAATTCGACGTATTGCTTCTCTTGTTCCGATGGATGTTTCTTTGATGATGTTGAGAAGGGAGTATGCAAACACAAACAGGACAGATACTGTAGTGTTGTCGACTTATATGGATGCCTTCAGTGCAAATACGACGTGTCGTTTGATTCAACTCTTGATGATCCCATTTATAACTTGACGAATAATGTTGTTGAGAACTTCACATTGAATTCCTCAGTACTTCTTGGGTATTACTTAGTACCACTTAAATACGACAATGATACGATAAAACAGCCAATTACATTTGAAAAAGAGTGTGGGGTCTGTGATATGAGGTGCAGAATATGTGAATACAAATCAACGTGGTGCACTGGGTGTAACAACGGATATACTCTTGAAACGAACGAAGAAGCCACTGCTGAATACAAGGCGTTGTTCCCAGGCTCAGACACAAAAATTCTTTCGTGTAAAGTCCAACCACCTGAGTGCAAGACAACCGGTTTGTTCATTTGAATTTCGCTCATTTATATAGAGATACATACTTACATATAGAAATGGGTTATTGCACTGGCTGCATTGACAACTACTTCATTTCTGGAGTCACATGTAACACGTGCGACAAGTCATGTGATACATGCACTGAGAACACATTCTGTCAGTCTTGTAACATGGAAAAGGATGAAAATGGAAGTGCTGTTTGGTGGAGACCGCCATCATTCAACACTAAAGAAGGCAAAGAAAAGGGACTTTGTTTCAACGTCACCGAGTCGATATCAGCTGGAAAGGGTCTTGACAAGTGCGAAGGCAATATTACACAGTCTGGGTGTTCTTCATGTGTCACTGGATACTATTTGAAGGATGGAGAATGTCTCCAATGTCCTAATGAAGGCAAGGAGAAGTGTTACAAGTGCCGATTGAATCAAGACGTCGACCCTGAAGTTGTTGTATGTACTGAGTGTGAGCCTGACACTGAATATCTTGGAAAGGATGTTTTATGCCACAAATGTACTGAGCTTAAGAATTGTGCCACTTGTAATACACGAGGGTGTTACACGTGCAATGAAGGATATTCTGTCTCAGCTGATAGAATGGAGTGTACAAAGGTGAACCTTGCGTTGATCATTCCATTAGTTGTTGTTGGTCTTATTTTGATTATCATCATCATTGCTGTCATCATCTTCTTTGTCTGGAGACGTAAGAGACAAACAATGAAGGAGAGAGAAAAGGAGATCAAGCCTTTTAAGGTGTCGAATGCAGTTGAGATGGCTTTGTTGTCGGCAGATAACGCAAACTTCCCATTGAAGACCAACAAGTGGACGATGAATTTTGGTCACGCCGGTTCAAAGGTACTTATCGATCAGCCATATGAAGAAATCGTTGAAGTGTCGAATACCACTAAGAAGTCATATTTCTTCGAAATCATTGCTGGTGCCTCGCATTGTTATGACCTTACTGCAGAGCCAATGAGATATACGTTGAAGCCCGGATATGCGATTTCCGTCAAGTTCACCATTAAGATGTTGTGCACTGCTATTGTGAGTAACGACATTGGTATAGTTGCTATGGATATGGATGAAGAAGTGAAAGAAACCGCGAAGTTGTCGATTATCATTGAGTCTGATTTGTCGACCAAATTGAATCACGAAGAACTTCAGTTACAGATGCCGGCTATTGGTGAAGGTGCGTTTGGTATGGTCTTCTGTGGTACATACAGAGGGCAAAAAGTTGCTGTGAAGAAGATGAAAGCAAGAAACTTGACTGAAGAACAAGAAAAGGAGTTCAAACATGAAGTCAATATGTTGACGCAATATCGACATCCATGCGTGGTGTCTTTAGTTGGTGCAGTTTACACTGAAGGTGAAATTTCGATTGTTACTGAATTTGCGGATTACGGTTCACTCAGTAAGATCTGGGAGAAGTCTAAAGTCTCTCTTGATCTTAAAGTGAAGTTCATGGAAGACTTGGTTGTTGGGTTGGCCTTCTTGCATGATAACAACATCATTCACAGAGATATTAAGGGCGAGAACGTCTTGGTCTATTCACTGAATCCACACTCCCCAGTCTGTGGTAAATTGACGGACTTTGGTACATGCAGAAACATCTCCGAGAGAGCGTTGTCGACGAAAGAATTGTCCCAAGGTATCGGAACACCAACATACATGTCACCAGAGTGTTTGGCTAATACTGCATATACTTACTCGTCTGATATCTATTCACTTGCTATGGTCTTATACGAGACATACACGGAAAAGCAAGCTTACATCAACGACGAAAGATTTAATCAACCTTGGATGATCCCTCAGTTTGTCATTGAAGGAAAAAGACTTGAGAAGCCAAATGGTATTCCAGAGAACTATTGGACTCTCGTCGAACAATGTTGGAAGCAAGAACCCACTGAGAGACCAACTATCGGCCAAGTCTACCAAATACTTGTTAGTTGGGGATTGGATATCACCAACACAGAAATGTCAGGGCAATCCGCAATGAAGCAAGAAAAGAACGTAAACCCACCACCTCAAGAAGAAAAGAAAGAAGACGTCCCACAACAACAGACTGAATCTGTCCCAGTTACTGAACCTGCTGCTGATACTGCAGATAAGAAGTCTGTCTCCTCAAAGGAGGACTAAGAAGATAATTTAGTCATTTCGAAATGTTCGATTCTATTTAAATCAAATTTTAATATTTTATTAAAATTCTAATAATAATTCATGTTACTGTTAAATGGTTTATTATGGTTTCCATTAAGTACAAATGGAGCAAATGAAACAAATAATTAAAATAATAAAATATAATAATAATTTGTAAAGATAATAATTTAAAACCAAAAAAATCCAAAATCTTGTTAATTCGACGCAATTACACGATTTCTAAGACCATAACCAGGTTTCCCCTCTTCTGTGTTTCTTTATTGAAGAATCCCAACTCTCCCAAATTGAATGAAGTCGGTGTATCAGGCACAACAATGGGGACATTGTAATTCTCGCTTAAGATATCGATGTTAATTGGTATTGTTACTGACTGTCCGACATACTGTTTTTCTACCCACACGGTTTTTATCAAGTCGAATCCACGTTTCTCTGTGCCTTCGACCTTTTGCGAACTTATTTGGAATGTATGTTGAACTCCGTCTTTCTCATAGGTAATTGTGTGCGGCTCAGCAGTGCCGGCTTCTATTGTCATTTCTACGGGTTTTTCGCCTATTATATGTGTAAACGTTCCGCCAAAGTGGAACATAGCCATTGGTATCTCAAGTCGGGTGATTTCTTCTTTCTCTTTTTCAATCACATTTTCTTTAGTGTGTGATTGTTGTGATTGTGTTTCTTTAACAGTTTCCAACTCTTCTTGACTTTCTTTGACTTTCTGTTTATATACTTCTACCTCTCTTTCTAACGTTTCAACTTTTATAAGACACTCCTTGTTCTCTTTCTCAAGTTTGGTGATTGTGGACTTATCACAATCTCTCTCAGATTTCATCTCTTTCATTTTCTTTTCGTTTTTGTTGAGCCTTTCTTCGATATCTGTGTTAGCATTAATGTAGTTATCTTTAATTCTTTCTAATTCTTCGACTTGTTTTAATACCCCTTCATGTTTCTTTTCCAACTCGTTGTTATCATTTTCAAGTGATGTTATTCTTTTTTCTTTATTCCTTGAATCTTCGAGTTGTTGATTGTTTAGAACAATAAAATTCTTTTTCCACTCATTTTCTTTATTTTGTTGTTGCTCAATTTTAGAAATCGAGTCATTAAAACCTTTCCTTAAATCTGTATTTTCTAACACCAATTCCGAGTTCTTGATATTCAATTCATTTTTTTCGTTTGTGATTTGAGTGATTTCGTCTTTCATTTTTTGAACGATTACATTTGAACTTTCCACAAAACTTTTACAACTATTTTGATGTTGTTTAATTATATCTTCAAGATTTTTGTTTCTTTTTTCAAGCGTTTTGTCTTTTTCTTCCAATTGCACTTTTTCAGTTTTTAACTTGTTTATTTTACATGTTAAAACTTTATCAATATCATCAGCTCGGTCTTTTTCATCTGTCAACTTCTTGTCAAGATCATCAGCTCTATCTTTTTCGGATTGGAGTTGAGACTTGAGATTTTCAATCTCTTCTTTCATTTTTTCAATCTCTTTTTTATTTTTGTTGGAAAAAATAGACCAAGAATGGTTTTCTTTTTTTATTTTTTCAATTTCTTCTGTAAGTTTTTTGATTTCTTTTTTCAACTGCTCAACTAAATTATTACTCTCCTTTAAATCTTCTTTCGTTTTAATCAAATCATTTTGAATTTGTTGAATTTCTTTGGATTTTCCATCAATTGTTTCTTCATAATCTTTGTTTCTTTTTTCCAATTGCATTTTTTCAAATTTAAAATTTGTTCTTTCACTTGTTAAAACTTTATCAAGACCATCAGCTCGATCTTTTTCACTTGTGTACTTTGTTGTGTTTTCATCAGCTCGGTCTTTTTCGGATTGGAGTTTTTTGTCAAGGTCATCAGTTCGCGTTTTTTCATCTGTCAACTTCTTGTCAAGACCATCAGCTCGGTCTTTTTCGGATTGAAGCTGAGACTTGAGACTTTCGGTCTCTTCTTTCAGTTTTTCAATTTCTTTGTTCAACTGCTCAACTAAATCACAACTCTTTTTCAAATCTCCTAGTATTTCATTTAAATCATTTACAGTTTGTTGAATTTCTTTAGATTTTTTGCAAATTGTGTTTTCATTGAATATTTGTGTTTTTTGTAATTGTTTAATATCATCTATAAAATTTTGTTTATCTTTGTTAAGTGTGTCAATTTCCTTTTGTTTACTTGTCAATTCCGTTTCAAGTCTTCTAATATCACCATCTTTATCGTGATTAAACATTAAAGAAGATAAACTCATTTCCTTCAATACAATTCCAGTTTCTTGTTCATTTATATAAATTAATAAATAAACATCATTAATAAAAATCATTTCTTTTTTAAAACTTAAATAAATACAGTTTTGTAATAAAATGTTTTTCAAAAGTATAGAGGGCGAAAAAAACCGCTGGGATCTAAGAACTCGCATTGATTGGTAAAGGTTTGTGTTTTAATAAAAAACAAAAATGTCAAAAATTTTATTAATTGTGTATTGACATAAAAGTTGTTTTTGCCTTCGATAAAATATATGTTGTTTTAACAAATTTTCGTTGTTTTTTTATTTTCCCGTTATTTCAGAACATTAATAACTGTAAAACAAAGATAATGGCTGTTTTTTATAACGGTTACTATTTATTCAAAAATATTACTAAGCACTAATTTAATTGTAGAATAACTATTATATTACTTTTATAAATTCAATTATGTCTCTTCCAACTATATTAAGCAAACTCATATGACCTGAGCAGTCCTCTTTTTGAACTATCCCATCTTACCCTTTTTGTGTTTCATGTAGTTGGTTATTTTAAGTGTTCTTCATAAAATGCCAAAATCACTATAATACTTAGTAAACTCCAAGAAAATCATTTAAAGTGTTGTTATTTGAACACATATAAAACAAAAATTCCCGATAATGAGACAAAAAGTCAGATGTTCAAAGCGTCTTGTAAATTGTAACTAAATGATTAACACGAACAATGTCTGTTGCTATTTAAATGAAAATATTTGTTGTTTGTTAACAATTGAAATAATGTAGGAAGATGTTATACATTAATATGATAAAATGTGTTCATATACTTCAATTCATTTTCAATTGTTGTTTGTGATTAAAAGTTTTCTGTCAGAGTTCAAATAAAAAATAATAAAAATATAATTAAATGTGGAGAGCAGTTTTAACCTTAGGAAGTCACTCGTTTTTGCCAATTTTTTTTTGCTGGAAAGGGAAAACTGGATATTTTCTATCCAGATCCTTTTGTAAAAAATAAAAAAAACAAAATGTATAACAATAAATTCAAGCATTCATTTTGAACCATTCACCACATCAAACGCGATTGCAATCACCACATGACCAAGTGGGTAAGGTTTCACTACAAATGTCACTACAGGCAGTTGTTTTTTTTTCTTTGCAATAGTGACAATATCCAGAAAAATAGCTAGATAAAAGGGTGAAGCTTCTTTTGAATTGGTTTTTTATTATCATTATTTACACATTGTTTTATTGCCACACAAATAAAAGCTTTCGTTTCGTTGACATCAATGGGATACCATTTTCTAGTTCTTTTCTAATTAGCATACAAATTTGTGTTTTCAGTGATTAACTCGAAGCATTTATAATTAAACAAATACATAAAGCAGTCGAGTTCCATGTTTATAATTGTTGTTGGTTTCATGTTGCCATTTTTATCATGTAAAAAATATAGAATTGAGGTCGTCTTCTGTAAACTTGACATTTTCCCAACACAATTGACAGTTTGGATTAACACAATTTTCATGTTTATCAACAACTTCATCCCGATAATTATCTTCGTGATTTTCGTCGCTTAAAACATTGTCACTATCACAATTTTATGACTCCTCCATTTCTTCTTTTTCCATTTTGTTTTTTGTTGTTTTTTTTTATTTTTTTATTTATAAAAAAGCGATTTAAAAATAAATATTCAATCTTGATATAAAATATCGAGATTTCTCTTCCTAAGGTTAAAATAGTAATTAACAAATATATATCAAACGATTTTTATGTTAAATTCAGTTTAAAACATTATTTAACAGGGTCGGCCAAACGATCATGTTATTGAAAAAAACTTAAAAAACAATAAAATGGTAAATAACATTATCATTTTTGAAAAACAAAATGAAAATGACAAAACACAATTATTTATACCAAAAGATAAAATGAAGAAAAAAAACGATAATTTATATTAGACACAAAATTATTTTCAAATTACTTTAGAATACAACAATATAAATATATCTTTGTGTTAATATAATTGTACGTTAAAACCTTTCAATTGTAAATTATACATGTAAATAAAACTTATTTAAAGTTGCTTTGATAATGTTTTTTATTTGGGTGATAATTATTATTTTGACTGATTATTATCGTATTATGAATAATCGTTTATATCAAGATAATTATATAAAGATAAGTTTTACATTTTTTTG